CAATGCAGCAATGTGTAACACCTCTAACCAAACAAACTGATATACCTAGTTACCACGACAATGACATGGAAATCAGAGATACATTAAACTTATTATGTTTACCAATGAACTACAAATTTGTGTGACATTCACAGGATTATAACTAAAATGTCTAGACTACAGATTGTGAGAATTTCGCAGTATTATAAGTAAAATGTCCACACTACAGATTGTGAGACATTCAAAGGATTATAAGTAAAATGGCTAGACTACGGATTGTGTGACATTCACAGGATCATCAGTAAAATGACTAGACTACAGATTATGTGACATTCACAGGATTATATTTGAGGCACGGTAGTCTAGTGGTAGGACGCCGTGCCCGTGACCGAAGGGTTACGGGTTCGAGTCACGGCACGGCACTGTGTTGTATCTTTGAGCAAGATACTTTACTCCGCTTGTTCCAGTCTACTTAGCTATGAAGGAGTTCGTGGTTTGACAGTGCTAGAATTGTTGAATACTAGCTGTGAGCGCCGAAATGGCAGCACCGGCTGTATGCTCCCATGGAGTTGAGAAAGATATTGGCTGGTTGCGAAGGCCCTATAAACAGGATAATAATTTGTGAACCGTTTTGAGACGACCTGCTAACTAGGTTATGATTAAGCGGTATATAAGATCCTCGAAGTATTATAATTATTATTTATTATAAGTAAACTGTCTTGACTGCAGATTGTGAGTATTCAACATGAGTATAAGTAAAACATCTAGAGAAATACACATTTTATCGATTATCTATGTTTGCTAGTATAAGGAAGGAGAGATAAAAAGATAGTGATAAAACAGATATATGATAATGCATTGATCTTTTTTCCTCAGTTATAGATTAATTTCAGTAAGCGACCTGCCAAGTTCTTAAAAGTTAAATGATGGTCAGAGATGGTCAAAATGTAGGTCATTATTGTCATTGGTCCCATTACCGGCACATATACGGTAGATTTTCTTTTCGCACCTTTATTTTTGAGACAGGAGAACAACCGTACATGCTACCCGCTTAAGTCCGTTACACCACTACAACAGCCAGTCACACTTCAGTTTGCAAATCCATACTATATCGTCATAGGTTTCCGCTCGTTATATGTTTCCGCGAGGCCATTTTCTCAAGTTGTATCTCGTTAATACGTGACCTGCTTGACACTAAACGAGGTAATGTTAGACGTTTGGCCATCGTCTAGAAACTGACAAAAAATATTAACGGAAGTTGGACCGAAAAATGTGAGTTTAACTGATTAAAACACACGCATTAATGTTCAGTTTTGCTTAAGACACTTTTTATCTTGCTCAAAATGAACCCAAAAAACCAGTCATACATTCCATTCATGACCCGATCTATTTTGTAGTCTGTAAAACGTACGAAAAACATTTTTATATCGATAAACAACGTCAAAGAAACGTCATTCTTGTTTAACAATGAATCCAATTTTCATCAATTTTAAACAGAAGAAAAAGAAAGAAAATTAACTTGCCATCAATTAAAATCGATGTAAAACAGCAAACAAATAATAACAGATTCTATTATATCTAAACAAATAAAATAAATTTTATGAAATTAAATGAATTCTTTTAATTTGACATAACAAAAATCAATTCAAAATAAGATATATTTTTTATTATTTTTATTATTGATTTGACGATCAAAAATAATATTCTAAATACCCGGCGAAGGTCTTGGCTCGTGCGGGACACTGTGAAGAATATCTTTTCTTAGTGTATTTGAGTTATCTTTCTTTGAACACTGAATCTAAATAGAGACACGGAAACATATGACGGCTACTTCCGACAGGTGACATTTGTTGAAAATTGTTTCTTACTTTTTCATCACAGTTTTATGTTGCTAGTTTTTGTTCCTGTTAGTGGATTGTGCACATCTCTATGACCTTCATCCATAATTTTAACAATTACCGAAATGAGTACGAAATTGCGGCTGCTTCTAAAACGCGCGGAAACCGAAAATGAATGAAATCACACAATATGATATTTTTGAATAATCAGACGGTTGTATTTAGTTTTTATGACAATTGATCACTGATCATTCAGCAGGCTCATCGAATATGTGAAGAATTCGACAATCCTCAAATCAAAAAATAGTACAACAGGCATTTGATTGAAATCTTATCATTCTTATCATTCCTTAAAGATGTCGCCTGCATAGAAACAAATAATGACAGATAGAGGGACAAGGTGTTTACTAAAGGGCACCTGCATCTCAATACAGGTCCTCAACTTTTAAAATTTGTATATTAGTGAACTTATATGTCTTTCCTGAAGAGAATTTGAAAAATAAAATCGCTGTACAAAGGAATTTGTTTTAAAACATTTCACTTTTGGGATAATCAGTGTCAATGCAGTGGATAAAGAAATATAGTGCAAACTATACGGATCTACATAGCACAGGGACCGGAGAATTTGATACAGCTGCATTTGTACCTAAACTAAGGTGTTCAGAGTAATTTTACATGTTTTAGGGGTTTGAATTTTACTTTTGGTAAAACTGACACCCCAATGATCATATAGAGGAGAAAGGAGGAAAGCTTTCGATGTCGAAATGTCGACCCCACCTAACATTCTGGCATCAAAAACAACATTTTTAGTTGATCTACGGGAAAATGGTTAGTACCGTTAGAAAGATGGATATTCTTTTCTTTTTAAAACCTCCTATAGGCACGTAAAATGTATTCTCCTTCCGCGGACATGAACTCCGTTTGCTCCAAAAACACACGCCATTCAGAGTTTCAAAGTTTTTCGCAGGTAGCCTGCCACTTTGTTTTAATATTAATGAGGTTAAGGTCAGCACGTGCTGAAACATTCAGTATCGGTTGGTTAAGCGAAAAATGTCTGCACTTCCAGCCGTTCACACCACGGGACTCGGCACGCAGCTGACGTCATGTTAGGGACCAAAAAGTTGGACAAACAGAGAGACCGATGGGTAAACACCCTTTATCATCAATTTAAAAATTTAGAGGAGTACAGGTTAAATTTAAATTTAAAATTACATGTGCGTTAAGTTTGTATATTATGAACCCTGTCACTAGTTAAAGAGATAACTGTAGCAATTAAGGAAATAGCAAACTTCTGGCATGCAATGTCAGCTACCAATGTGTACCTTGAAAGATGAAAGTAACACATACACACACCTACATACATACACACACACACACACACACACACACATACACACACACACACACACATACACACACACACACACACATACACACATACACACACACATACACACACACCCCTACATACACACCCACACCCACCCCCCCACCCCACCCCCCACACACACATACACACACATACACACATACACACACACACATACACACATACACACATACACACACACATACACACACACCCCTACATACACACCCACACCCACCCACCCCACACACATACACACATACACACATACACACACACACACACATACATACATACACAAACACACATATACACACACATACATACACACACACATACACCCACATACACACCCACACCCACACACACCCACACCCACAGACCCATACACACACACATACTCATTACTGTACAACTGTACAACTGTAGCAATGATGGAAATAGCGAACTGTGTACCTTGAAAGATGAACGTAGCACACACGCACCCTCTCTCTCTCTCTCACACACACACACACACACACACACACACACGTGTAAATGATATTTAGTGATAGATACAGTAAGTCAAACGAGCATTACACTGTAATGACTGGGTAGATATACCTGTGTATTGAGTAATAAGGCATATTATACTGTGACTTGCTTGGTTACCTTACCTGCATACACAGATGTGTCTACTCACAGTACAGGTATGTCTTTACTAAATATACATAACTTGTAGATAATAATTGCCAGGTATGGCATTTAAAACGTGACTGATTATAAACACATTAGGTGACCTACTAGACAATATATCTCTATTTTATCAGTGTTAGTTTGACGGTAACCTCGTTCAGCAAGGACAAGGAACGCTACGCGTCCGAACAGGTAGATTCACGCATTGCTCTGGATTGATGATCAGAAAGAATCTATTCTGAAATATGACCTCCAATTTAGTTCAAAAGTTGACATGATCAGCCAGAAAGCAAGTTATTTATCAGGAAATTAAGAAGGAATGTTATGCGGTTGTGAATTCAAAGGCTGGAGAAATGTGACGATGTAAATCAGAATTCTGAAGTGTGGACTTAGAAGCTTGGATTCATCATCACAGTAAACTTGTGACATCATTGACCGAAATGGCAGCTCCAGCTGTATGCTCGCCAGGAAGTTGAGAAAGATATTGGCAGGTTGCATAACTACGGATACTAATTTGTGAACCGCTTTGAGACGGGCTACAAACTAGGTTGTGATGAAGCGGTATATAGGAACCTCGAATTATCATTATTATTATTATTTTTTTGCATAACAACAATCTTTATGACAGTGTTAACAGATAATAATATCTCTATACCAGGTCTCAAATAATATTTCAACAAATGATTTAGATATTCGTCAAAATGGCAACCCCTAATAGCCAAATACCTTTCCGAATGAAAGGTCAAACGACTTGTACACACCATAAGGAGAGGCAACTGGACTTTTTTTGTGAAAAATGTCAAGAGCCTGTTTGTCCAAAATGCCTTTCTTCTGTTCACAAAAGTCATACAGTTTGTGAGCTAAGTGAGATCACTTCTCAAAAGGAACAGGACATTATACACTTTATAGACAGAACAGAAAAAAATGATCTTGTAGAAACTGGGGAAAAAAATACCTCTTCTGATACACTCCTTAAATACAACATCAGTAGTTTTGAGAAGCTGTCACAAAAGTTAAAAATGCAAACAGATTTATTAAAACAAGAGCTAGACATGCTTACAGCACAGACACTCGCTCTTTATCACAAAATGGAAGAGGATAATACCAAGCTGATATAGAAATACAAACTTGACCTCGAGATGTATGAAAAGCAACTCAAACAACGAACTGAAGAATGCAAAGCAGCTCTCCAGCGTGGTTCTCACATACAGATTTATGATACATTTTGTGAGATCCATACTCCTACACACAGTCTCCCTGTAAAACCTGTCCTGGGTACCGCCAACTTTACTCCAAATGAAAGTCCTGAAGATCACTTGAAAGAAGCCATGGGAAAAGTTATCACCTCAGGTCAAGGTCAAACTTCAACTGACCATGATCGGTCAGTCTCAACATCTGATGATCAAGGACAGTCTTCTCTACACCAACAACAGTCAGGAGCAAAGGTGGGAAATGCAGTGACAACATACAAACTACTGCCACGGACCAAGGTAGTGGACCAGTGGGAGTCTCCATGTGACATTGGTTCTATATGCCCAACTACAGATGGTCATGAGTGGACCAATTCCACTAAAACATTAACTCTCCTGGACAGGAAGGGTAAAGTAATACAGAATGTCAATCACAATGACTGGATCAATGACATCAGTCTGTCACCCACCACACACACACTGTGGGCCTGTGACAGTGACAATAACATCATGGAGATGGTATCAGGACGCCAGACTCACAGATTCAGTACCAAAGAGGAACCCGCCTGTATATGTATTACAGCCAGTAGCCATGTCATTGTAGGGATGCCCAAACACATCTCCAAATTTACCACAGATGGTAAAATGGTGTGTGATTCCAAGGCTACAGGGATTGTGTGTACACCATACAGGATCTCAGAGTGTCCTGTCACTCACAATGTGGCAGTCGCTGTTGCAAAGAAACATATAGTTGTCATGAACAATGATTTCAAGAAACTTTTTTTATATAGAGGTGAAATCACTCGTTTAAATCAACCAATAACACACACAAGAAGTAGACCATTCAATCCATGTGGTGTGGTGTATGACAGTGTGGGAAACCTGATCATAGGGGACTATAACAACTACAGGGTCCTACTCGTCAGTGGAGGTGGTGAGTTCCTCAGGGTCATACACACAGACACAGACTATGTATGGGCTGTAAGTATAGACAGGGAGGATGTCCTGTGGGTAGTGTTTGGGTCTGCACTGATGGGTAACACAGTCAAACTACTACAATACAGGAATGTGTAACACTCGTAACCAAACAACCGGTATACCTAGTAACCATGGCAATGACATTGATATCGGACTTAATGAAACTTATCAGGATAACCAATCAACTAAAATGTGTGACATTCACATGATTATAAGTAAAATGTCTAGACTACAGATTGTGTGAAATTCACAGGATTATAAGTAAAATGTCTTGACTGCAGATTGTGTGTCATTTACAGGATTATCAGTAAAATATCTAGACCACAGATTGTGTGTCATTTCCAGGATTAAAAGTAAAATATCTAAACTACAGATTGTTCGACTTTTAAAGGATTTAAAGATACTCTAATTGCCTGTATTGTAGACCTATATACTTAATCAATCACGATAAAACTTTCCTATTCGAACTTATATTACAAATCAATATTCAAATCCGGGCCAAGAACCGAAGACATAACCTTGTAACATTGTTATGTTCGATTCTTCATGCAAAGCATGCACGGGAATGGTAATAGGGTAAGGATCTGCACCTTTATTGAGATGACAAAGTTCCAGGGGATGTGTTGGGCTCTTAGACTAATCCTGGTAGCATTTGTTTTTATCTATTCATGTCTAGCAATTCCATATACTGGTACAGGGTTGGTCTCTCAACTGTTTCAATGGTCCACACCAAGGACTTACTCCCAAGATGTAGACTCGGGTCCCAGGGCTAATACACGTGTACATTTGTGTGTAGGGCGGGTATAACATGTAACCATTTTTATTTTTTTTATCTAGTGACTAAGGCACCATAGCCAAGCCTGATAGCATTACAGTGGTACTAATAAGGTGGTGATCTTAACTGTTTCCATGTCAGATCCCAAGAATGTTGTCCCCTGGAAAAGAATGGCGGCCTATGCCAATCCTGGTAGCATATGGGCATTCGCCTTCGCTTTTTCTCAAGCACTCCCGCTTTCATCCATGTTTTAACATAATACAGAGAGGAATAGACCAATCAATCCGTTACTGCATGTTTCAAATTCCAACCACATAAAAACGACTCAAATATGGCACAGAAGAAGTTATTTGAGGAATCGTTAAATGGCAGAAGGACAACAGACGCCTCATTATGGCATCATCTTATGTTGGTCATAAGACACCATTCTGTATGACTTATTACCACAGTGCACGTCTTAATGCAAAATACAAACACACACATATATAGGTACATATTCTCAGTCTAATTTCCAGTACATGTAGGTATATCTACCCGTAGTACAGATACGTCCCATTACTGAATGCACATTATTTACACAATTCAGGTCAGGGGTCATGTAGGTATATAACCGGGACGGTTGTACCGTTACCTCCACTGGCCTACGACATAATCTATTTCTTTCTTATCGCAAAGGTCCTTGTTCAACACAGATCTTTGGGTAAAGCGGCTCTGCGCATGCGCTTACCCTGATACTTTCTTATAAAAGGTTAGTTAAATGTCTGAAAAGGTCAGACTTCATTTTAAGGAACATATAATGTACACCTTTAGCGTACCTGAATTCATTTTAAGGGACTGTGTGTAGCCGACAAAGAGCACTAAAAAGCTTCATTGCTTACAATGGTATTGCTACTGTATACAGAGTGATGAAGTACGCATAATAATTGATGTCAATGAGCACATTAACCCATGACGTTTGGTGACCTAATTATTGACTTTTATCTAATTTTTGTTCATGGGGTTATTTAGTCAAATGAGATCCCTAAAATTCGAGTAGATACTGAAAATATATAAATGTTAACGAAAGTTTCCGTAGTTGATAATGGCATGACCTGAGGCCAACGTCCAGTGTGGTCAGTTTTATCTTTTTTGGAGGAGCCGTTGATCAAAGTAGCTACGACCGAAATATCGCAAATATCCGGGCCTTTCAGTGAAAAGTAAATATGTACAGTACCACGCTATCGAGTCGTTTTGAATGCACGCACTGAGAGTGTGCCACAGGGAGACAGGGTGAATAAAGCGAGAGTGTACCTTCTCTATTTGGCTGGAATGACATTTTGTTAGCTAGAAGTTCACAGACAGCTGCCGCTAGACCGTACGGCTGTACAGTTCAGGATTTCTGCATTACTAATTAAAAACGCGAAGAAAACATTGTCTCTTTTTAAAAAAAAATGTCGTTCATAAGGAGTTTCAAACTATATTATCATGGGGAATTTTGTGGAAAGACTTCAAATAATTACTTCACTAACCTTAATTGTCCCTTTAAATACCCTGGCCAATGATCTTGACACTTACCGTATTTGACCCGAAGAAAAGGCTCCTTCCTACTTTGGTAACTGTCCAATATAAAGTGTCTGTGCCCTCAATGAAATTTCTCTCCTTCCTATTACTCTTAAATAAATCCATGATTAATTGTTAACAAACTGGAATTAAATGTTCGCTTGAACAATTATAAGATGGTCGAAATAGGGGTATATCCAAGATGGTGTACATTATTCTGAATGCTTGTGACAAGACAGGAGGCTCTTAGTTACAGGATATAAACCCTACACTTTCGTTCCTGGAGGCTTTTTTGCAGCCAAATACGGAACTTAAAATGTTTGATATTAATTTGACTTTGATTGACCAAGTACAATGAAGTCAAAGATACAGTTAAATATCATTAGTATAATAAACATATGCACGATTAAATGACAACAAAACTACAGTATCTCGATTACATCTTCTTTCAAGGATTTATTTAAAATATAACACAAGCTTGACAAAGTTGCTGAAAATAAATTAAATTTGAATAAAATACACATATCTTCTACATTGACAAGCAATATTCTAAAACACAAAACACTTAACAGATGCTAGCACAATAATACTGCTCCACGTCGTATACTCTGGGAGACTAGGATTTGGATTCATTGGAATCACGTGACTCATAAATTATACGTTCCAGGCGCTGCGGATGTCATTTAAGGTAGAACTTTCCAACCAGGTTAAAAGAGATAACTGCATTTCCAATAATATTCAGAAATATTTTTTTAAGCTCATTTTAAATGTTTTACCAAGTATTTAATATAAACTACAGATTTCAATGATTTCTGACTTTACCCCTGTTTGAAATTCGAGTATTTGAAAACAGGAAAAGGGAAAACAGAAATGTCAGGGGTCAATACCCAGAATTCTTTGCAAGGTATAAAAACGAAATATGAATACATCTTTTATTTTTTGCCATATTTTTTATTGTCCAATATTGAGGTTGCTAATGTAAAGTGTAATCTAGAAAGATTTATTGATTTTTAATTCACATTTGAATGATAGATTATTTTCATTCAGATCAAGGGCTTGACACATGCATTAACACAACTACACATATTTATGTCGATCAATGAGATTCAGTGATACTGGAAATAACTTAAAAATGAACAATATGTATCAATATTATAGTTGTGTAATATATTTAAAATCTTTTCTTTACAATTTACCAAACCAACACAATAAAACAATGAACGCATTTCTAAAGGAAGTAATTACACCGCACTGATTGTATTAATAGTAGTCATTTATATTGTAAGGCGTCTTTCATACAAATGGTTTAATCTAGCTTGACAGGGCGCTTTATCAAACGTCTTTTATTATTAATGTTATATTAATACAATTAGTCTTATACAATTACATACACATGAAAAGGTAGATCAGCTATTATTATAGGCCCAGCAACACGTATTTTATTACGTAACAACGACATCGCCAATCCTGGTCACAGTATACATAACACATATTGGATGGTACCTTCATAAAGTCTCATTAAATAATCTCTGTAGTTACTCTTATACGTATATCTTGCAACATAACACAGCGTTCACACATGGAATTATAAAGGGAACTGCAGCTTACAACGAGATCATGCATGAACATATTTTTTCTGGGGATATAAATTAAGTATTTATAACAAGCGTATTTATATAAATCATTGACACAGTACACAGTTTAATATATATACAAACAAAATATATCAATAAATATAAAGCAAAATAACATATTCTCATGTACATTTCCATGACACAGGGGCATGATCCGTCACACAGGGGCTTGCCTTTTGTCACAGGGACGTAGACCCCGTCAAAGAAGTTTGGTTCCTGTAATGTACCGAAGTTTCTTTCCAAGTGGCTTACTTTCTACCAGAGGGACTCGGGGTCCTGTCTGACGGTAACCCACATCAAATCGGGCGTTAAACGACATATCTCACTGAATTGAATCATAGATCCAAATGAAAGTTTTTCAAGTTAATTTTGACTTTACAAACAAGAGATCCCAGAGGGATCTTAGCGCCCACCTTTGTACCATCTTCATTAGTTCTTTGTCAGTTCGATCTTTTCTCTTCTTTCCTCCAATCTGTTTGATCGAGTCATGTTAACAGTAAATGAACCTTGAGGTAACTTTTGATCTAAACTTAATACTGATGTGTATGAAAGCCAACCTTCGAAGTGACTTTGTCATTTCACATATTTACTAGTACAGTACTTAATGTGAAAGAAATAGAATCGATCATTGCAATGTGAGAAAGATCTGTTTAGTTCTTCTTTTAATCCATTTTGTTTTATGATCAGTCTCAAAATATAACATACACAACGGGGGATCAAGGGGAACCTACATTTAAAATTTGAGAAAGATCCCTCTGGTACTTCTTGAGAAATACAGATAACAAGAATTGTTTACGGACGGACCACGGACGACGGACCACGGACGCAGGGTGATTTGAATAGCCCACCATCAGATGATGGTGGGCTAAAAACATGTCACATATAATTTCTTACAACCTTATAAGCCAAGGACAAGTTAAGTTTAGTGTGTCTGTGTTTATATTCTTTTAACAACCATTGTCATTTAAGGACGTGTCAGGTTTTGGTGGTGAAGAAATACAAGGGACATGCGAACTGGCGACTTCCCCACGTAGGTCTCGAATCCTCGAACCAGTGGTTTAGGGTTCGTAACGGTCAGAGGCCACCGCGTCCCCTATATGGTCAAGTCATTATGTATGTATATGTAGAGAATGTATTTAAAAAAAAGCCAAAATCAATCATATTTCGGTTGATTTCTTCATGGTCAGCGCAATTTAAGCTGTAGGATTTTTATGATTAATAGAGTTTTTCTAACAAATAAAAAACAGGTACAATCATTTGTACTTTAAAACATTAATATTTATGAAAAAGGTAACTTTTTTCTTATGTTTAAATGACAATAATTGGTTTTGATAAATTCGACTGTAGATATACATGAAAACCATTCTGAGATGATAAAAATAAAATATATATTTTGGAAGACTTGGTTTTATATACGAGATTTAATCACATTGTGTGGTCCACAACCCTAGTTACGTAACTGGTTATAAATAAAGACTAGTGTACAGAAAATTTACCCAAATAATGATATAGTCATATACACTGCAAAAACCATGTTATCTATAACTTAAACGTATGTCTGATTTTTTTTATCAATAAACAAACCTCATTTATTGTATTCTGAACAAAATTATTTTTGTTAGAGTGGAAATGTTTGATGTTTGCGGGATGGATTGAAATGCTCGTGTTTTTCGCGCTAGAGTAAATTAAAGCTTAAATATCCACTCGCAAATAATTATTTGTTGATTAAATATATTTAGAATACATAAGTTGAAGAACCATTTCTAACACAAAACAAAATCAACCCCATGATCTGATTAAAGCGTTACAAAGGAAACATTTCCACACGTGGAAGTTTCCCCTTCCACAATAACGTTATTTGTACGTGTTGAACAAGGACATCTCTTAAACACACATAACGCCACACTGAAGTTAAAGCTTACAGTATTTTTCTTGCCTAATGAGGTATCGAGAAAGTCTAGTGAATCGGTCTTTGACCATTAGATGTTCAAAACGATAACATCAAAATTTCAGTTTGCACCGACAATTTGGCAATCATATTTACTGGCCTTTGTATCTATCGAAGACAGTGGTACATGCTCAGTCTCATCAAATCGATTGATGAATTAACCTTTTACAATTTAGTAGAAATGATGATATAAATTACGACTTTCCTGTAAAATACCAAGTCATTAGCAATACTTTTTTTTTGGGGGGGGGGGGGGGGGGGATTTAGTGCCAAATTAAGTGACATGACGTTACGTTGTATTCTGGACTCTGACCAGCTTTACTGCAGTGTTATTTCGGAATTATAATTAAGTGACTCCATGTTGTAGCCTTCTGAATCCAAAGCGAGGCTCTGTATCTTAGCATCCTGATATTCTATGCAATGTCGAACTATCATTTCTTTTAAGGTTGTAACAGTGCAATCAAGATCCGCTGTTGAGACTTTGTCTATACTCAGAAAACCTTTGTTATATGAAATAGTATATAAAATCGAGATTTTAATCTTGTTGGTATAATGAAATAGTTGAATACTCCTGTGGGGGTCAATATGATGGGACTAGCTTCTTTCAATAGCACGACCTGGGCCTCTTTCAACTTCAGTAGTTGGTCTCAGATCATCATTCACCATATCAACCCCGACAACAGTAGCTAGTTTTAACCTTGATATTTATCATTTTTACTGTAAAATCTACATTAGGAGGTGGGCTTGTCAGAGACAAAACCTTAAGTGACACATTTTTTAGGTTGCTATTATGTGGTATTAGATTATTGTGTGGTCAGTATAAAGTGACGTCAGCCAATTCTGTGTCATCTTAATGTCATATCAGACAGTTGTGGGGGTCAGAATAATATCACCCCTAGGATAAACATCGTGAGTGTGCACTTCCATTGAGATGTGTGTCCACATTTTTTAATTAGATAAATTGATGTACACCACATTTAACATAATCTGTAATCATTGTAAACATACACTCATCTCCATTTCTTAAAACATTGGACCTATTCCTGTTTTTTCCACGAACAATTTCTCTTCAACAATACTGAAGTCCTTATTATAATTATTCACACTTCAAGTGACAGTCATAGATACGGTAACCATAGTAACATGTCTACCATAGAAGCCAGCTTTTCTTCTTCTGTCGTGTAGTGTCCTTGTCCGTTTTGGCGGCGTCATCTGAGGCACACTGAAATACAACATAACAGAAATAATAAACACATCTAAATACAATCATAGTATCAGATCGTGCATCATCACAAAGGAAAATACTGCCAAATTCTTTCAAACAGGATTGATTTTTATTACAGCAGAGCTGTTCATTTTGTCTAACTTGTAGCTCTGTATCTATAAAACTTCATATTTTTCAATTTAACTGTATATAATTTATATACATACCTTTAAGCGTCAAAACATGCAATGCTGTTTATATTTTAAAAGATGGACCGTGTACTTCCTAAACTAGAACACTGACAGGTCAGTAAGGGCCCCGTCTTGTGGCAATATATCACCCATAATCATCAAGACGCAATCTGCCCATATACATGTAGCTGAGCTTGACGTTTGACATTTGGACTTCAAAAAGAATCAAAATATACATTTTACATGTACTATGATGTGAGTCTTGTTTCCTTCCACCTCCATATTTGCTGGGCTAACAGAATATAAATACCGGTGAAATACTCATTTGTTAGCTTTGATTTGTTTTATTTCACCTTATTTACCTCCTCCATCAAGAGCCAGGGTCAAAGTCAGAGATCCACATTGTCTTTGACCTTTGGACCCAAAAGACCTTGACCATTAACCCAGTGATCCTGATCTTTAGTCAGTTGACTTATTCTTTCATTCCGACAAACTTTGCTTCCTTATATCATAACAAAATGTTCATCAGTGAAAAATACAAAACTTGACCTTGACCCTTTGGACCCCGTAACCTGGACCTAAGGTCAGTTGACTCTGTGTTAAATTCTGAACAACATTGCTTCATAATGTCATAACAAAATGTTCATCAGGGAAAAGGTACAAAATTTAACATTAACCTTTGTCCCAGTGACCTTGACCTTTCATCAGTTGACTCCTTGTTTAATTCTGATCAACTTTGCTTCATCATGTCATAACAAAATGTTCATCAGTGAAAAGATGTAAAATTTGACCTTGACCTTTGAATCTAATTTCCTTGACCTTTGACCTCGACTTTTTACCTCAGTGTGTCTCTTTGTTTAATTCCGAACAACTTTGCTTCATAATGTCATAGCGTAATGTTCACCAGTGAGTAGCTACAAAATATGACCTTGACCCCTGACCCGATGACCTTGACCTTTGGTCAGTTGCCTCATTGTTTAATTCCGATCAACTTTGCTTCATAATGTCATAACAAAATGTTCATCAGTGAAAAGATGCAAAATTTGACCTTGACCTTTGAACCTTATGACCTTGACCATTGACCTTGACTTTTTACCACAATGTGTATTTTTGTGAACTGGCAATCTTGACCAAGTTTCATGTACATAAGTCAAGATATCTATGTTGTACATTTTACAATGAACCAGAGCTACACAGTTCTGACTGAGATATCTATGTTGTACATTTTACAATGAACCAGAGCTACACAGTTCTGGCTGAGATATCTATATTGTACATTTTACAATGAACCAGAGCTACACAGGTCTGGCTGAGATATCTATATTGTACATTTTACAAGGAACCAGAGCTACAAAGTTCTTGCTGAGATATCTATGTTGTATATTTTACAATGAACCAGAGCTACACAGTTCGGACTGAGATATCTATGTCGTACATTTTACAATGAACCAGAGCTACAAAGTTCTGACTGAGATATCTATGTTGTAAATTTTACAATGAACCAGAGCTACACAGTTCGGACTGAGATATCTATGTTGTACATTTTCCAATGAACCAGAGCTACACAGTTCTGAGATATCTATGTTGTATATTTTACAATGAACCAGAGCTACACAGTTCTGACCGAGATATCTATGTTGTACATTTTACAAGGAAACAGAGCTGCACAGTTCTGGCTGAGATATCTATGTTGGACATTTTACAATGAACCAGAGCTACACTGTTCTGACTGAGATATCTATGTTGTACCTTTTACAATGAACCAGAGCTACACAGTTCGGACTGAGATATCTATGTCGTACATTTTACAATGAACCAGAGCTGCACAGTTCTGGCCGAGATATCTATGTTGTACATTTTACAATGAATCAGAGCTACACAGTTCTGACTGAGATATCTGTGTTGTACATTTTACAATTAACCAGAGCTACACAGTTCTGACTGAGATTTCTATGTTGTACATTTTATAATGAACCAGAGCTACACAGTTCTGACTGAGTGTACATTTTACAATGAACCAGAGCTAAACAGTTCGGACTGAGATATCTATGTTGTACATTTTACAATTAACCAGAGCTACACAGTTCTGACTGAGATATCTAAGTTGTACATTTTACAATGAACCAGAGCTGCACAGTTCTGGCTGAGATATCTATGTTGTACATTTTACAATGAACCATAGCTACACAGTTCTGACTGAGATATCTAAGTTGTACATTTTACAATGAACCAGAGCTACATAGGTCTGGCTGAGATATCTATATTGTACATTTTACAATGAACCCGAGCTACACAGGTCTGGCTGAGATATCTATATTGTACATTTTACAAGTAACCAGAGCTATACAGTTCTTGCTGAGATATCTATGGTGTAGATTTTACAATGAACCAGAGCTACACAGTTCTTGCTGATATATCTATTTTGTACATTTTACAATGAACCAGAGCTGCACAGTTCTGACTGAGATATCTATGTTGTACATTTTCCAATGAACCAGAGCTACACAGTTCTGAGATATCTATGTTGTATATTTTACAATGAACCAGAGCTACACAGGTCGGACTGAGATATCTATGTTGTACATTTTATAATGAACCAGAGCTACACAGTTCTGACTGAGTGTACATTTTACAATGAACCAGAGCTATACAGTTCGGACTGAGATATCTATGTTGTACATTTTATAATGAACCAGAGCTACACAGTTCTGACAGAGATATCTAAGTTGTACATTTTACAATGAACCAGAGCTATACAGTTCGGACTGAGATATCTATGTTGTAAATTTTACAATGAACCAGAGCTGCACAGTTCTGACTGAGATATCTATGTTGTAAATTTTACAATGAACCAGAGCTGCACAGTTCTGTCTGAGATATCTATGTTGTACATTTTACAATTAACCAGAGCTACACAGTTCTGACTGAGATTTCTATGTTGTACATTTTACAATGAACCATAGCTACACAGTTCTGACTGAGATATCTGTGTTGTACATTTTACAATGAACCAGAGCTACACAGTTCTGGCTGAGATATCTGTGTTGTACATTTTACAATGAACCAGAGCTACACAGTTCGGACTGAGATATCTATGTTGTACATTTTACAATGAACCAGAGCTGCACAGTTCTGTCTGAGATATCTATGTTGTACATTTTCCAATGAACCAGAGCTGCACAGTTCTGTCTGAGATATCTATGTTGTACATTTTATAATGAACCAGAGCTACGCAGTTCTGACTGAGATATCTATGTTGGACATTTTACAATGAACCAGAGCTGCACAGTTCTGTCTGAGATATCTATGTTGTACATTTTACAAGGAAACAGAGCTGCACAGTTCTGGCTGAGATATCTATATTGTACATTTTACAAGGAACCAGAGCTACACAGTTCTTGCTGAGATATCTATGTTGTATATTTTACAATGAACCAGAGCTACACAGTTCTGACTGAGATATCTATGTTGTACATTTTACAATGAACCTGAGCTACACAGTTCTGGCTGAGATATCTATGCTGTACATTTTACAATGAACCAGAGCTACACAGTTCTGGCTGAGATACCTATATTGTACATTTTACAAGGAACCAGAGCTACACAGTTCTGGCTGAGATATCTGTGTTGTACATTTTACAATGAACCAGAGCTATACAGTTCTGACTGAGATATCTATGTTGTACATTTTAGAATGAACCAGAGCTACACAGTTCTGACTGAGATATCTAAGTTGTACATTTTACAATGAACCAGAGCTACGCTGTTCTGACTGAGATATCTATATTGTACATTTTACAATGAACCAGAGCTACGCTGTTCTGACTGAGATATCTATATTGTACATTTTACAAGGAACCAGAGCTACACAGTTCTTGCTGAGATATCTATGTTGTATATTTTACAATGAACCAGAGCTACACAGTTCGGACTGAGATATCTATGTTGTACATTTTACAATGAACCAGAGCTACACTGTTCTGACTGAGATATCTATGCTGTACATTTTACAATGAACCAGAGCTACAAAGTTCTGACTGAGATATCTATGTTGTACATTTTAGAATGAACCAGAGCTACACAGTTCTGACTGCGTTATCTAAGTTGTACATTTTACAATGAACCAGAGCTACAAAGTGCTGACTGAGATATCTATGTTGTACATTTTAGAATGAACCAGAGCTACACAGTTCTGACTGCGTTATCTAAGTTGTACATTTTACAATGAACCAGAGCTATACAGTTCTGACTGAGATATCTATGTTGTACATTTTACAATGAACCTGAGCTACACAGTTCTGACTGAGATATCTATGCTGTACATTTTACAATGAACCAGAGCTACACAGTGCTGACTGAGATATCTATGTTGTACATTTTAGAATGAACCAGAGCTACACAGTTCTGACTGCGTTATCTAAGTTGTACATTTTACAATGAACCAGAGCTACAAAGTGCTGACTGAGATATCTATGTTGTACATTTTACAATGAACCAGAGCTATACAGTTCTGACTGAGATATCTATGTTGTACATTTCACAATGAACCAGAGCTACACAGTTCTGACTGAGATTTCTATGTTGTACATTTTACAATGAACCAGAGCTATACAGTTCTGACTGAGATATCTATGTTGTACATTTCACAATGAACCAGAGCTACACAGTTCTGACTGCGTTATCTAAGTTGTACATTTTACAATGAACCAGAGCTACGCTGTTCTGACTGAGATATCTATATTGTACATTTTACAATGAACCAGAGCTACACAGTTCTGACTGAGATATCTATGGTCCTATTAACTACTTGCTTGTAGTAGAGACATT